GAAGGCAAGAAGCTAAATGTGTACACTGACAGCCGATACGCCTTCGCCACTGCGCATATCCACGGAGAGATTTACAAAAGAAGAGGACTTCTTACTTCAGGAGGAAAAGAAATAAAAAACAAAGCTGAGATCATAGCGCTTCTAGAGGCCTTATTTCTGCCGAAAGAACTCAGTATCATACACTGCCCAGGCCACCAAAAAGGGAACCACCCCGAGGCAAGGGGAAATCGTCTAGCTGACCAGATGGCCAGAGACATTGCCTCCAAGAGCCAAATATTAACCACGCAAATTGACGCTGAACGCAAAAGAAAGGAGGCCATCAGAGACTACACTCCAGAGGACAGAAAATTACTTGAAAAAATTGGGGCTTTCAACAACCCAGAAACAGGATACTGGGAGTACCAAGGGAAAACCGTCCTGCCTCAACGATCGGTAGAAGAACTCCTAGATGGACTTCACAAATGGACCCACTTAGGAGTGACCAAAATGAGAAAGCTGATTGAGCGAGAAGAAACCATTCATTATCTCCCAAACAAAGACGCCATCCTGCAAAAGATTGTTAAGAACTGTAAAACTTGTGCCCAGGTGAACCGGGGCAAAAGCAAAGCCCAGGAAGAAGTAAGGCAAAGAGGTCACAGGCCAGAGGTCCATTGGGAAGTCGATTTTACGGAAGTCAAACCAGGAATGTATGGATACAAGTACTTGTTGGTTTTCATCGACACTTTCTCAGGATGGCCAGAGGCATACCCAATGAAGACAGAAACTGCTAAAATGGTGTCTAAGAAGCTACTGGAGAACATCTTTCCTCGATTCGGGATGCCTCAGGTAATAGGGTCAGATAACGGACCGGCCTTCGTCTCCCAGGTAAGTCAGACAGTGGCCAGGTTATTGGGGATTGAATGGAAACGCATACCCGATGAAGACAGAAACTGCTAAAATGGTGTCTAAGAAGCTACTGGAGGACATCTTTCCTCGATTCGGGATGCCTCAGGTAATAGGGTCAGATAACGGACCGGCCTTCGTCTCCCAGGTAAGTCAGACAGTGGCCAGGTTATTGGGGATCGAATGGAAACTACATTGTGCTTACAGACCCCAGAGCTCAGGCCAGGTAGAACGAATGAATAGAACCATTAAGGAGGCTTTAACTAAATTCTCGCTGGCAACTGGCACTAAGGACTGGGTGACCCTCCTCCCCCTAGCCCTATATCGGGCCAGGAATACTCCTGGGCCCAGTGGATTAACCCCCTTTGAAATTCTGTACGGGACCCCTCCCCCGGCTGTCTCTTTTCTTGATCCAGACATCTCTAACTTTGTTAGCACCCCTTCCCTGCAGACGCACCTGCGAGCGTTGCAGCTGGCACACGAAGAAATCTGGAAGCCCCTGGCAGCAGCCTACCAAGATGCTGTTAACACCCCTATTGCCCCCCATCCCTTCCAACCAGGTGACACCGTCTGGGTCCGGAGGCATCAGGCTCGAAGCTTAGAGCCTCGCTGGAAAGGACCGTGCACAGTCCTCCTCACCACCCCTACAGCCCT